TGGCAGGACCTGGCTTAGGGCACAGGTTGTGACTCACAAGTTTGCTAACAGTGATACTTCATGGTCACCCCTAAACTTCTGAACACCCACCCTCCACCTCCCAGTAGTGCTGGGACAAGACTTCCATCCTCAGGATCCCTCTCTCACCAGTGGCTGCTCGTTCCTGGAGAAAGCGCTTGCTACAAGAACTGAAACCAAAACTTCCTTCTCTTTTGAAGTGCTGGCACCTCTAGCAGACCTGAACAGCCTGCTCTGAGGGAAATACAAGCACGCAGGAAAGCTCTCTGCCACTACCGCCCACCAGAGAAGAAAGGGACCCTACTCCATCCTGGAGTCCCACTGTCCCCTCCCCACCTCACCTTGCACGGGGGCTGCAGCAGACAGTTTCTGTCCACACTGGCTGCAGAACCTCGGTGACTTTTCTCCGGATACATGCCGGCACTGTGGGCACTCCATGCTGTTATCCCCAGCCCTGCAGGAAAGGGAGAGGCGCGGCAGAACACTATAAGCCTCAGCGTCTGTCACGTGACTACCGCCTACTTCAGTTTCATTTTCTAGGAAAATGAAGTGATTGGGACCCAGAAGGTTCTGGGTAATCGAAACCCAGACCAGAGCTCTCTATCAGTGCTCAATTCCAAATCCAACTCCTCCCTCAAGCAGCAATTCACACCCCCCTACTGTCCCTCCCCTCCATTGTCCACCAACATAGCTCAAGGGAGCTCACAGAAGGGCTGCTGCCAAGAGAGGGATACTGAGTTAGGCCTGCTCGGCAGAGCCCAACAGCTGAGGACCCTGACCTCAGACAAGGTTGGCAGCCACCTGCCTGCTGACTATGGAACACCTGTGCCGGTCTGCTGCAGCCAGGTGCTGGGGCTGCCCTGGGGCTGTGTCTTTCACCCTGCCCGCCCCCCAGACAGCTGAAGGGGAGGGTTGGGGGCAGTTTTGAGAGCATGAGGCCAACCAGCCCAGATGGCCTGGTCAGGGCCCCTAGCAAGGGCACCAAACCAGGGTAAAGATCAAGGGTAGTGCTGGTCAAGGACAGGGTGGGAACCTGGCTCCAGGCCACTCTAGGGAAGGCTTGCACCAGCCCCTCTGTTCTTGGCCCTAACCCGGGAGCCTGTGGCTCAAGGGAAGAATTCCAAGCACACCAACCACTCTCACCCCTCAGGGCTAACTGCCATTGTGCACCCTGAAGGGGCAGAGGCCAAGCCAGTGGGCTCCAACCCCACCTCCACATCCGGTGCCAGCTGCTGGCCCTCCCTTCCTCCCAGCCCCTGTCCTGGCAGCCACCTTTGAGCTTGATCACAGCTAGATGGTGAGTCCTTTGGGCCTGGCTGTGGAGGTGAACGTTGTGGAAGTTCCCCCCCCCCACCTCCCCCCCCCCCCCCCTCCCCCCCCCCCCCCCGCCACCCCACCCCCCCGCAAGCACCCCTAGAAAGACCCATCACTCATTCAGACACCTCCAGTGACCCCACCACTTAGGCCCTTCCCCCTGGAGATGGATGGCTTCACCTGCACTCCTAGATGCTTTGTTTGGCCCTAAACTAAATAGAGGGATGCACAAAACTGGACACAGCGTCTCATGCTGGTAACCCCAGGCCTTGGGAGGTGCAGACAGGACAATAGTAGTTCAAGGCCAGCCAGCGCTACAAAGGACTCTACCTTAAAACCAAAATGAAAAGGGAGCTGAAGAGCCCGAGAATATAACAAATTTGCACACGTATAGCCTACACCCATTTCTGAGTGTATTAGCACTGATAGCTGCTTTGACCCTTTGCCCTGAATTCTCCCAGGCAATTTAAAGGAACCAAAGACTATGTGAACATTTAAAACCAACACTCTGTAATCAGAAATCGTAAATCCCTGATGCCCCTCAGAGGTGCCCAGAGAGTGCTAGCTCAAAAAGACATCAGATGCCCAGAATGTCATAGATCCTCTATTTCAGGCTCAGGTCAACATTCCTGAGCTACCATAAGTCTCTTAGCTTCAGCTCAAGATGGCACTCCCAAGACGCTGTGGTGCCATGACACCTTAAATCCCAATATGTACTCTGTGTCCTGTGTATAACCCTTGATTATAAAAAGGAGCTTATAGCCAGGCAGTGGTGGCTCACTCCTTTAATCCCAGCACTTGGGAGGCAGAGGCAGGTAGATCTCTGTGAGTCTGAGGCCAGCCTGGTCTACAGAGTTCCAGGACAGACTCCAAAAGCTACACAGAGAAATCCTGTCTTGAACAAAGAAGCTTGTAGCCCTTTCTCGGGGCTATAGAGTCAAATAATTCTCTGTAGTTCTAACTAGTTAGAAGCACTGCCCCCACGGTGTTTTTGAATAAAGTTGTTTCTGATTAATAGACTTCAGTGGTCTGTTCCAGTTATTTGTGCAACTCCAGGACCCAACACAAGCAAAGAGCAACACAAGAGCAACCATGCATGTTTATGTTTGAGGGAATCCCACAAACTCAGAGTGGAGAAGAATGGGGGCTGGAGGTTTTAGGGCCAACCTGAGCTACAGGAAAGAGCAGAGGCTCAGGGCTGGGGCCACAGGGTGCTGAGAGCAAGAGGACCTTCCCGGCTTGGGAGCTGGACAAGGTGTGGTTTTGTGCAAATGTTTTCATGGGTAACCAATGCTGTCTGCCCCAGCCCTCTGTCCTTTCTAGACAGATGTAAATTTTTTTTTAAAGAAAGTTCAGCACACTTTTAATCCCAGCATTCTGGAGGCAGGTAGATGGCTGAGTTCGAAGCCAGCCTGGTCTACATAGTGAGTTCCAGGACTATACAGAGAAAACTAGTCTCAAAAACCTGAAAAAGAAGAAAAGGAAAAGAAAGTTCTGCTTCTCACACCATAAGATTCTTGGAAACCACGCGTACGGAGTGTATTTTGGAGTGGCAAATTATCTCCTACCATCACATTTTGGGGTGGTGTACCCCGAGCCAACACCCCTAAAGCCAGTTCTCCAGTGCTGCTCAGGAAAGTCCAAAGGGCCTTAGGGCTTCAGCTAAGACTAGGGACAGCTCCGCAGAAGTGAGCGGCCAGCATCAATGCCTCTCTGGTTCAGCCAGCAAGAGGACCTTCCCGGAGCCTTCGCCCTGAGACTTGACTAAGAAAACCAGGTGGGTTTGGACTTGGACATAGCGTTAGCACCGCTCACAGCTTTGCAGCTGCTCCTGCGAGAGGGAGCCTCCCCAACCTCCCCTCACTGGGAGGAAGATCAGCGCCCCGGGCGCAGACGCCTGGCTCGTAAAAGTTCTGACTGCAGTTGGTGAGGGCGGATTCCCAGGTAGAGCTGCGGGCCCGGGACCGCTAGGAGCTCGCTCGCGGGAGTGGGCAGGTCGAGGGCACTGTCCTTCCCTGGTTCTGGGGAACAGGGCAGACCTAGCGTGGCCCGCGGCCTTAGAGTAGATGGGGTCAAAGGCGCAGGGCCGGATTAGACCCGAAACCGAAACTCAGAACAAGAAGGAAGTGGCGGCCGGGCGCCGGCGCATCAGGACTCCGGCACAGTTCCGGCAATGTGACCTCAGGGGCCATGCACAGCTGGACCCGCTCCCCTAGCAGGACCGGCGCGCAGCGAAACGGCATCCGGAGCTCCGCAGGTCGTCCCCCAGGACCCTTGGCCCGTGACACCCGCCCTGCCCAGCGGAACTTTGCACCCCAGTTCCTGGGGGCCCTTGGCGTCCCTGAGACCCGCATCCCACACCCTAGACCTCTCTTCACCGCCCGGGACTTGCATCCCGCTCCCAGCCCCGCACCGCCGCCCCGAACCTGGAAGCTTCTGGTTCGCACCTGCAGTGCCCATGCGCCCGCGCTGCCCCGCAGGCTGGCGCGCCTTGGTGCGGAATCACAGGGCCGACGCCGCCCCTTTGCCTCCCTGGCGCGCAGCCTGGCCGGAATTCCCCGCCCGGTGGCGCCGGACTAGCTTGTCTTCCCGGAGGCGACTGCAGCCCACGGCCTTCGGAATCTCACTCGAATTCTCTCCAGGGTTTCCCAGAGTGGCCCCCCTCCCGCCCCGCCCAACCACAGCGGACCGGGGAGACTGGGAAGGCACTGATAGGTGCTAGCTCCAGACTCCCAGCACCTTGGACAGTGTCCAGGACCTAGCCCACTTGAGGCCACTCTCAGGACCTGAAAGACTTCAAGGGAGTCATACCACTCATCTACAGGTCTCTGGATGCAAAGTGGAGATCACCAACCCACCACCTGGAGGTCCACCAAGGCCACTGGCAGTAGCCATTGCTAGTGAATGACCACACCAGCAATGTTGTGTCCCCCACTCTCAAAGCTTCAAGTATTAGCAAGTATGGGCAGCCAAGCATTCAAACGCATGACCCTGTGGGGCCATTCTCATTCAAATGACCACAGTAGCTGAAGATGACCTTGAGTTTTTGATCTTCCTGTCTATGTCTTAAGTGCTGGGAGCATGTGCGGTGCTACCCTGCCTGGGTTCAGGAGGTGCTGGGAATGGAACTCAGGGCTTCTGGATGCTAGGCCAGCACTGTAGCAACTAATCTAAGTTGCTATTCCTCCCCACAGCTCTCTGAACTCTTCTAGCCACAGTGCCATATCTTCTTCTCACTCTCACCTCAGACTGTCACAGCCCCTCATCTTCCCAGATTTAAAAAAAAAGTTTTTATTGCATTTATTTATGTTAGTGTGTGTGAGTCACAGCGTGCACGTGGAGCCCAGAGGACAGTTCCCTGGAACTGCCCTGTGGCTTGCTTTGTTCCTCACTGTCTTTCTTTAGACTTGGAGATCTCCCTCCCTCCCTCTCTCCCTCCTCTCTGAGGGCTGAATGAGAATGGCCTCCAGAGGCTCATGTGTTTGAATACTTGGTCCCAGTTGATGGAACTGTTTGGGAAGGAGTAGGAAGTGTGGCATTTTTGGAGGAGGCGTGTCACTGGGGGCAGCTTTGAGGTTTGAAAAGCCCATTCCACTCCCAGTGTTCTCTCTGCCTCCTGCGTTCACATCACGATGTGAGCTCTCAGCCACTGCCTCTGTGTCCTGGCTCTAACATCATAACCTCAAGCTCTCTGGAACCCACACGCCCTTTCAAACTGTTTCTTTGTAAGTCCTGTTCTATCACCCAATAGAAAAGTAAGACATTCTCAGTCACTCACCAGCTCCTGAGAAATGAGCCTTAGGGAGGGTGTGGTGCCCTGGGCTGTCCCTGTGGTGCTGGAGGACTCCACCAGACCCTTTGCTTCCCTCCCTTGGTGGAGACAAGGACAGCAAGAGCCTTTGGCTAAGAACCCGACAACTTGCTGGAACAGCCCCCCTCCCCTCCCCCCATGGCTGTCTGATGTAATACAGAACAGCCCCTCCAGAAAGCTCCCGTTCCCACTGGGGGAGGCAGAGGGACCCTGTGAGAAGACTGTAGAGGTGCCCTGCCACGTAGCTGCCTGGGGCTACTCTTGCTCTGCCTGGATCAACTCTCAGATGGACAAGAGATGGCTCTCTCAGCGTTAGGGTTTCTAGAGGCTCACGT